TGCGTCTCCACCGATTCCACCAACGGGGTAACTTTAATAGGGGATAATTACATAAAACCAGTTGTTTAGTTTCATCTTTCTGAAAATCAGGTTTTTACTTTATTTAATCAAAAATCAGGTTTTAATTTCACAATTAATATTATTAATGATATTTTAAATTAAATTAATCTATATACCTACACCTATCCCCCAAATTTCAATCCACTTCCCAAACCCTACTCCTCCCTTCTGTCTATTTCTCTCTCTTCCATCTCTTTTCTGCCACCCTACTCCACCATTCTCTCTCCTCCCTCCCGTCTCCACCTAATTCACAATAGCGTCAACGCTGTTGTCGACGTCGTGTCGCGTCGCGACACTGCTGTAACAGCGGCGCAGCAGCGTCGCGTCCGATTGTTGGCGGCTGCAACGCTGGCAACAGCGTCACGTCCGATTGTTGGCTGCTACGACTCTGTTGGAACGTTGGCAGCAGCGTCGCGTCCGATTGTTGGCTGCTGCGACGCTGTGGGAACGCTGGCAGCACCGTCGCGTCCGAAATGTTGGGTGGGTATGTGGTTGTTTCGCTCAGCGGTGGATTTTTGGGACTTTTGATGGGCTGTGATGGTGTAGCAGCCGTGTCTTTCTCTCTCTATTGTTGTATTTTGCATTCCCTCCATTGTTGCGATCTGGTGGCAGGTTGGGGTTTTTTTGTTAGGTGGTGGGTGTGGTGCGGAGATATGTGTTGTCGGCGACGATAGGGTGGCAAGTGGATCTGGTGGCAATCGTCGCGAAGATGGGGTCTTGTTTTGGAAAATGTCGCAAATCTGGGGTTGTGGAAGTGGTGGATCCGTGGTGGCGGTCATTTTTTGTTATTGTTGTGGCGGGTCAACAGTGGTGGTGTTTCTTTTTGGTGTTTGTGACCTAACTATTGAACTGTGACTTTAAAATTGATAATTTGTAACTAAAAAAAGAATCTGTGACCAACAATTTTGAAAATACGTGACCTGTGACATATAATTTTTTTGATATGTGACCTATAAAATTTTAGATTTGTGACCGATAAAAAAATTGTGACCTAAAAATTTTAGATCTGTAACCTCGAAATAATCCATGACCTACAAAATTTTTGATCTGTGACCGGAGAACAGTCGCCGGTCACCGGAGTAGTTGCAAGAGCAGTAGGGGAGGTGGGGTAGGGTGGTTAATTATATTATATTACAGTTAAATATTTAATATAATATAATAATTGTGAAATATAATTAATTAATTAATGAAA